AAGTAGCTGGGACTATAGGCACCCACCACAACACTCAGCTATTTTTGGTTGTTGTTGTAGTTGTCATTGTTGTTTTAGCAGGCCCGGGCTGGGTTTAAACCTACCATCCCTGGTGTATTTGGCCGGTGTCCTAACCACAGAGTATGGGCACTGAGCCCAGCTTCCTGTTTTTAACATGTGCCCTTTGACAATCCAAACCTTGGTGTTCTGAGGGTAGGATTCTGAGGCCACGTCTCCATAGAACTCCTTCCTGGGTAATGGCTTCCAAATCCCTAATCATGGGCAGAATGGCTATAAAAATCTCCAGAGAACATTTGTTCATTTCTAAATTAAGTGTTTGCCTTGGCCACAAGGGGAGGAACCAGCTAGGGAATTCCATATCCTTGCTTAATGTTATGAAGATTTTTGTTGTAATCTTCAGATACATTTTCCTCTTTTTTCTTTGACTAATGGTGTTAGCTTTATTCCCAGCTGAGAGCCCTAGGAAATACTGCTTTCCTCTGTGTATAACAGCTTCACTGAGCTCTGTTGCTGCAAGGTAGGAGTCTCCCAATGAGCTAGTGAAGGACCATGTATGAAAGTACCTAAAGAAACTGAGGCCCCTGATATGTAATAAGTAAGTTAAGTAAGCCATAATTTTCCTTGCCTCTTCTGGATATTCATGCCTGTGTTCCATCATTCCCATGGTAAATTGTCAGGGGTGAGTGGCGCCAAGACGAGTGAATACAAGCCCCATCTGGGGCTTCTCTAATGTATCTATAGTAAATAGAGGGACTCTAGGAAAAAAGGCTGGGCTTCTCCTTTCTCACATTTATTCCTTGAGGAGAAAATGGGTAAAAGAAGTACGAAAACGTGGGTGTTTATGTCTGTGTATATATATATTTTTATTTCATGCATGGCTTCTCCCCCCAACTTCCTCCTATACTCAAAAGGGGCCAGGTTCCAAATCAGACTTGTAAATATGGTGTTAGTGTTTGACACTACTCCTGAATAGTTCCAAGCTTGTTCCTTGTGGGAGCTTTCCTGGCTGAGTCTGACCTTTGGTCCTTGTATATTATGTTATTGTTCAGAGTATGTTGTCATATAAAAGTTCTCATCAGAAATGCTGGGTGTGTGGTGCTGTTGATCTGACTTCTCCCTGATAGATGCACTTAGGCAGTGGGGAGGTAAACACAAATGCACACTGACACATGGGAGCTGGTAACCATTGTTCTCATGGTAAACAGCTTCCTGGGCTTTTTTTGTTTTTCTTTTTTTACAGGTTTTGGCC